AGCCACAGAGTGCCCAGACATTTGGTCAAACACTACTCTGGATGTGTCTGTGAGGGTTTTTCTGGATGAGATTAACATTTGAATCAGTAGACCGAGTAAAGCAGATTGCCTTCCATTATGTGGGCAGGCTCCATACAATCAGCTGAAGAACTGAAGAGACGAAGGGCTGACTATTCTGCCTGACTGTTTTTAGCTGGGACATCATTTTTTTTCTTGCCTTTAGACTTGAACTGAAACATTGGCTGTTCCTAGATCTTGAGCCTGCCAGCCTCGGGACTAGAATCAGTACTATGACTTACCCAGTATGTAAAGCTCTAGGTGTCATGCTTGATTCCTCTCTTTCCATAGCCCCCTATAGTTAATACATCAGCATGTCCTATCAGTTCTATTATATATTTCCTGATTTAACTGATTTTTTTCCAGCTCCCCAGCTACTTATCCAAGACACCATCAAATAAGACCTTTATTACTGCAATTACTTCTAAATGATCACTCTGTTTCTGCTCTTGCCCTTTGTAACCTATTACCTATATAGGATCCCCAAGTAATATTTCAAAAACTTGAAACACACTAGCTTCCAGTGACTTATGCTGGACTTGGTAAAAAGACTCTTCCTATGCTTTGACTCATCTGGCTACTGCCCTTCTCTCTCGTTGCATTCACTGCATCAGCAACTGTGGTATAGATGGCAAGAATAAGCCCAAGTATTACCCTTTCTGGATCCATGACTCTTTGCAATGTGACTTTGAAGCTTCTCCCATGAAGAAATGAAGCCTGTTTCCCTACCCCATGAATCTAAGTTGGCCTTTGACTAAAGGAATACAGTAGAAGTGATGTTGTGTCCATTCTGAGTCCAGGCATCAGGAGGCGTAGTGTGCTGCTTCTAGTATGTTGGGTCACTGCCCAGACACCATGATGGTTGCCTCCTGGAGGATGAGAGACCATCTGGAGCAGAGACGCTCTATCGCAGTTGAGGCAGTCCAAGATCAAGAAGCCCTCAGCAGACCCAGCAGCTGACCAGTGAAGCATGACTGAGTCCAGGTGAGACGAGAAGTACAGCCCATCTCAACTTGCCCAAATTGCTGTCTCATAGAAAGGTGAGCCAAATTAATAGCAGCTGTTTTAAAACATTTAAATTTGGGGGAATGGTTTAATAAACAGCAACACAAGCCTTTCTTTTCTTCTAACAGGCAAAACCAATTGCCTCACCTGGATGGTTGCCCTTACTGTTCCCTCTGCCTAAAATACTCTTCTCTTAGTTCCTTTTGGTCTTAGCTGCTTCTGAGTCTTTGTGATCCAGGAGAAAGCATTTGAAAGTTTTTGCATGGATTATCTCCTTTAATGTTGACAACATTATTATTTACATTGTCCCAATAAGGATATTGAAGTACCAAAAGGTTAAGTATCTGGCTAGGTTTTCAGAGGACTAGGACTCCAACCAGGAAAATTATGATTATAAAAGCCCATGCCTTTAACCACTATGCCATTCTTACTACCTTTATTTATTCATAGTAAGATATTAATAAATAATTGCTAAATTGAAAAATGAACAAATGAATGCATAAGACAAATATGTGGCAGAAATACAAGAGTAGCAGCCTTCTTTGGGGGACACTGTGCCGGGGGACAAAAAATTTCTTAAGAACCCTTTTAAGCATATAAAACATACCAGGAGGGAAAATATATCCAGGAAACGTTAAAGATCATAACAGGTTTATTAAATGATCTGGGCATTGAGTGGTGAATAAAGAAGCAGCTTTTTCTGACTCATGCCAAATGGCCCTTTCCCCCACAGAACGAAACTGGCAAACTTCCAGTCAATTTCTGACATTGACAGTTTCCTACACAGAAAAGACCTTTGGGATCTAAATCAAAGCTTCAGTTTCTCATTCAACTGAAATATTCTCTCTTTTCCACAAATCTTCTGGCCTGAGCCAGAAGCCTATAGGGAGAAAGAAGATATGGATTGCTTTTTTCTCTTTGCCTTTTGTCTTCTCTTAGCTCTGATTCTTCTGGTCCTTCTAGGGTGAGTGGGGAGAGGAGAAGAGATATAGAAATGTTAAGGTCTTGCTTGAATAATGCCACTGCAATCTGCTATTGATGTTTCTGCCTTGGAAATGCAGAAACTTCAGGCTTCGGGTACACCTCACAAAGATTCTTGCTGTTGAGGTCACTTCTCCCTGGCAAGCTTTTGTCAGGCCTGGCTTTTTCAAGGCAGTTCATGGGCTACTTTCCATAGTGACCACTCTGGTCCATGGAAAGCACATGGCAGGTCACTTACAATGTGGCTTTCTTTCCTCATTCATCTATCACAGATAACTCCAGTCAACCTCTTGCTTTTAGATATTTTCTAGATAAACGTCAGGTACTCAGTCACTATGCCTCTCAAACTTTATGGGGTAAATGGCATGCTATCCTTTACCTGGCTTGAATTAGACGAACTACACCCTTTGCCTGGATGGGGGCAAAGGATACATAGCCGTCTTAAAAATACCCTCCAAGAAAATCTTCATCATCAGTCTTCTCTCATACTGACCAGTCTCCTGTAAACAGCTGGGAGAAAGCTCCAAAGAGCTTTCATAGTCTTGTCTATGAGTTGTTTTTATTGGCTAGCCTATCTCTTTTGAACACTTAAAACCTAGTGTCCTTAGTAGAAATCCTGACCGGAAAAGCCCAATTTAACAGGTTTAATATCTTAATTCCTTATCAGGCATCTTAGATCTGATCACTGAACAAACATTGAGAGAATGGCCTGAACATGTCAGGGTTGGGCAGGATGCTAACATGAAGTTCTCAGAATGTGAGAAGGAGAATGCTGTCTGCTGGTGAGGGCAAGGCAAAGTTGCTCATAACAGGGCAGCAAGTATATGACCAGAATAAATGTAACTAGTCCAATCCTCACAGTAATGATCTGTGATATTGTTATTCTCATTTCACGAATGAAGAAGCAGAAGCTTACACTAGTTTTAATGTTTTCTAGGCAAACGAGAGGACAAATATTTTGATTGGTAACACTGAGGAAAATATCATCACCCAGTAAATATGTATTTTATTTTCTGTGTTCCATTTGATAAGTAATTTTAATTATTCTGCTTTGTTCCTTATCTGCACTCTAATGAGTAGAATGATAATTAACTTTAACATCCTACATGCTACTTGCTTTCACGTTCATGTTTCATGTTACATTGACTTCTCATCTACCAGGTGATAGATAATTTTTTTCAAGATTGAAAGGAATGGACCACTCTAATTAATTGTCATCCTGATGTACTTAAAAATTTTCCAGTCTGGGACATTCAAAATAATAATTCATGAGAACATCTAAGTGTGTTCTCTGTTTCTCCCAATCCTCTCCCAGCTCCTTCTAAAATGACCTCACCCTTGTCAGCTCTACCATCTTTCGTATACGTCTATTCCTAATGTTAATCTGTGGTATCGAGGCTCTCTGAACAAATATTCATTCAGAATGAGGCAGAAACACTTGGTGTAAGATTCTAAGGGAAAGCATCATGCATTCTTTATCTGAACGCACACAGAGAATGTAAGAATCCTTGTCAAGTACTTTCTAGTCTATGTAGAGATAAGAGACTTTTTTCTCACCTTCCAATTTATCACTGCCCATTCGAATATTCATCCAGCGTCAGGAAGACAACCTTGGGTGTTCATCTTCTACTTTAATAGCCTGACAGAAACAGGTGCCCAAGCGGATTTTATTTTTTAAGATATCCCCCTTTTCATTACTTTTACCGTCTGTTGATCATATATTATTTGACATAACAAATTGGACTGGGCTCTTAAAATACATGACATGACATGATAAGGGCTGGGTTTCAGATAATTTAGACTGAATAGTGTTGGATTCTAGCATCGCTGAACCAGACCGTGACTTTTCCTGACGGGAGAAATGTGAGTACGTTAGAGTCGCGCCATCAGCCTTTCATATCAGAACTAATGGGATGCAGAATTTCAACAAAAAATAATCACAGCAGCACTGTCAGCGCTCCTATCAGAGACGCAGCTGTGCTAACATGCCGCTTCCCCTCTCTCCCCAAACCTGTCTGCCTGTGAGATGTCAAACGGTCACCGTTGCTTACAGCTGTGATTCCCCAAGATCTTTCATCAGGATAACCAGCTTCTGGGTGATGCCATCTGTCTTCATTTATCTCTGCAGAATGTCCAGTTTAGAAAAATGAAATGTCTCTATGAGTTAAGATTTTAGGATAGTTGAAGCCAAGCTGAAATTTCTATCAATTAGTTTATTTTTTTCTCACACTATTGTCTCATCTACTTCAAGACAGTGAACATTAAATGCACACTAATACAATAACACTGAAAGATAAAGGCTCAGAAAAATTTCTGGCTTTGAAATAAGACAAATGAATCCTTATGGGGCAATTATTAATATTTCCCGCGTGTACAACTTGCAAACAAATAACAACAGCCAGTGTGTCTTGACTAAATGCTCATTGTTTGCTGGCTGATGAAGGTCAGCTGTGTCAAGGTAGGAAGTGGAGAGTCAGTCGGTGTCAGCAGTACACGACAGTTGTCTGTTAAGATTTTTCCTCAAGGCGAAGATGCCAAGAGTAAATTCTAAAATTGAAATGGCGTCAAGAAGATTAGGTCCACAAAATATAATTACTTGAACTGAAAACTGACCTGGTCATAAGAACAAATGCTCCATACCTTACAAAGGTGTTTTAGGAGGTCTCTAAAAGAATTTTCTCTCATATGTGCTTACTAAAGCAGCTGCAATGCTCATCAGCGACAAAGCCCTTCTCACCCTGAGCTGTTTTTATTGCAGATAATAATTTTGACTCAATTTCTTTACATCTATTGTCTGAGACACATATTAAAAAGTTTCTTATAGCCACCACCAAAATGAAGCAGTGCAAAACATTAGAAAATAATTCAACCATTGCATGGGTCAAAGAACGTTGAAAGAAGAATGTACCAGACCAACATTTTTAAGGGTATTTGTCCTTACCTTTTTCTATTTCTAGTCTTTTTCCTTTTGCCACTGGGCCAGCTCTGAAAGAAGGAGAATAAATGGAACTTAAGATAGCAAGCAGCAGAAGCAATGCTTCAAACTACTGTGCCCACCGTTTCTTTTGTTGAAAGCATCACCGCCATTGAACATATTTACCATTGATGGTGTTATAACACGTGGGCCATCCTTCTCAAAAGACATCACAACACAAGCAAGAAGTTAGCCATCGCTTTGGAAAGCAAAGTGGTCCTAGAAGGTCCCAGAAGAGTGCAACAGAGGACTAGTAAGTTGTGGAAAGAAGGGGTGAGTCTGAAAGATTTTATGCTTTTTGGAGGCCAGAGTTGGGGAGAACAAGCTTAGTGCATGCCCCGGGGTGGGGTGCATTTTCATGGGCAAGGTAAGAGGGTTCCAATTTCTCCACATCCTTACAGACACCTGTTGTTGTCTTTTTTATTTTAGCTATCCTAGCAGGTGTAAAGCTGTGTTTCACTGTGCTTTTGATCTGCATTTCCCTTATGCCTAATGATGTTGAGCATCTTTTCATGTGCTTACTAAGCATTTGTGCATCTTCTTTGGCGAAATGTCTACTCAAGTCCTGTGCCCATTTTTAATCCTGTTGTCTTTCCATTATGCTGCATTTTTAGTGTTTTGATATATGCTCATAAGTGGCTTGAAAAGCACTATATAAAAAATTATTTTGTGTCAGCCCTGATGGCCTAGTGCTTAAAGTTTGGAACTCTCACCACTTCAGCGGCCCAGGTTCAGTTCCCTATAGTGGAACCATACCACTCGTCTGTCAGTTGCCATGCTGTGGTGGCGGCTCACATAGAAGAACTAGAAGGACCTACAACTAGAATGTACAACTATGCAGTAGGGCTTTGGGGTGGAAAAAAAGAGGAAGATTGGCAACAGATATGAGCTCAGGGCAAATTTTTCCCAGCAAAAGAGGATATATATATGTGTGTTTTTTAAGTGTTGCTATTAGAATCTACAAATTGTCTATTTTTTAAATCATTTTTAATGTCCACCTTATCTTTAGCTAAATCACCTTCATCAATTGGGAATATGATGCATTGAAAATGAAAATAAACCGTGTTATAAGACAACAGATAATAAGTATCTCCTCTCTTTTTAACCAAAGATCATCTACTTAATTCATAAGAAAGAATTCAAATCTAATCAAAGGGTATTTTATTAGCAATATTTGGATCTTCCTCAACAAGTATAGATCATTTGACCATTGGGTTTTTATGTTTTTGTAATTTTCATGATGTGATACTGAGATAACGATTAACTAGTTTTTCTTCAATTTAAGAACATTTACTGGGTACCTACATAGGCCAGACACTGTATCAGTTACCAAGGATATAAAGAAAATGGGTGATAATAGATGCCCACTTCCAAGAAACACTCAATGAATGTTAATTACTGACGATAGCATTGCTCATCCAGTTCATGTTGAACCAGGAGAAATAGCAATACAAAATTTGTCATTATTGAACTTTCCAGTCTAGAGCGGTTACCCTTTATAGATCATTTTAAGAGTAGACAATCTTTCCATCCATCCATTCACCCAGTCATTCAGCAAACAGTTAATATTTATTGGGCCTAGTATATGTTAGGTAATGGTAAATAATGAATGTTACTGGTATTCTAATGAAATATAAAGAAGAAGAGTAATAAATATTATTACGAACAAGAACCTTCTGTCAGGATGTCAACTGTCACCTGGATTGCAAAGGAAGAGAGAATATGCGTTTCAAAATAAATGGATAATAAGATGTAAATTTTCAAGGAAAAATCTAAAAATGGGGAAAAGATAAAGAGGGCTCCACGCAGGAATGATTACGAAAGAAATTCCTTCCTTATTTTTTTCCATTTTTCTCACCTCATTCCCTTTCTTTATATGGCTGTCCGGACAAAGAGATTTTGGATCAAAAGAAATGTTTAAGCCTTTTTTTGTTTTTAAAGTTGTCTCCTCTGTGTTGTTAATGTTGCCCTCTTTCTACCTTACAAAATTTGGACAACGTTTTCTTGTTCGCTAGTGCTTTTGTACAGGTGCATTCTTTTGAGTTAATCAGAAGATGCGCTGAGTTCTACATCAGAATAGGTGGGGCTCAGACACAGTTATGAGGCACTAATGCCAAAATCTGAAGAACGGATGGCAGCTAGATTACAGTAAAGAGTAAACAAAGTTAAGTTTTATTTATATATCTGCATAAAATATATACAATTCTATACCTACAATTCTCTGTATTCGTTTCTCTGCCTGTCTGCCTCTGTGCCTGTTTCTCGGTGTCTCTGTCTCTTCGAAGGAAAGATTAGAATAAAATATACCAAGGGGGCAGTGCGAGAGGGGTAGAAGGCACCCTTCTATTTTATATAAGCTTAATTTTGGAAAATTTAAAAATAACTTGTATATATAACTTTTTAATATAGCTTTATTGAGATGTAATTCACATGCCAAGCAATTCACCCATTTAAAGTGTACAATTCAACATTTTTTATTATATTCTGAGTTGTGCAACCATCGCCACAATCTAACTTTAGAACATTTTCCTCTCTCCCCAGAAAACCCATACCCATTAGCAGTCACTCTTCATTCCTCCCAGCCCCCAGGCCCGGGCAAACGCAAATGACCTGCTTTCTCTCTCCAGGGACTTGCCTAGTCTGGAGATTTCACGTGAATGGGATCATCCAATATACGGTCTTGTATGACTGGCTCCTTTCAGTTTGCGTACTGTTTTCAAGGTTCATCCAGGTTGTGAGATGTATCGGTACCTCATTACTTTTATTGCCTAATAACAGTCCTTTGTGTGGATATACCACTTTTGATTATCCTATTTCTTAATTCATATACTTTTTAATTGTTTCCACTTTTTGGATATTATGAGTAATACCGCTATGAGTATTCATGCACAATTTTTTCGTGGACAGTTGTTCATTTATCTCGGGTACATATGTAGGGGTGAATTGCTGAGTTACATGGTAACCCTGTTTTAACATTTTGAGGAACCTCCACACCATTCTCCAAAGTAGTTGCACAATTTTCCAATCCCAGAGCGCATGAAGGTTGTGATTTCTTTACATCCTCACCAACACTTATTATCGTCTGTGTTTTTATTTTAGCTATCACAGTGGGTATATAGCATCTCTTTGTGGTTTTGATTTGCACTTCCCTAATGACTAATGACGTTGAGCATCTTTTCCTGTGACTGTTGGCCACTTATACATCTTCTTGGGAGGAAGGGCTATTCAACTCTTAGTACATTTTTAATTGGGTTATTTGTCTCAGTTTTTGAGTTTTAAGAGTTCTTTGTATATTTTGCCACATTATATGGGTTACAAATATTTTTTCCCATTCTGTGGCTTGTTTCTTCACTTTTTAGATTATATCGTTTGATGAACTAAAGATTTTAATTTTTTTTTTTTTTAGGAAGATTAGCCCTGAGCTCACATCTGCAGCCAATCCTCCTCGTTTTGCTGAGGAAGACTGGCCCTGAGTTAACATCCGTGCCAATCTTCCTCCACTTTATATTTGAGATGCCTATCACAGCATGGCTTGCCAAGCAGTGCCATGTCCACACTGGATTGGAACTGGTGAACCCCGGGCCGCCGAAGTGGAACATGTGAACTTAACGACTGCGCCACTGTGCTGGCCCTGCTTTTAATTATTTTTTTGCTTTTAAATTTGTTTTTTTTTTTAAATTGAGTTCGTATAGTTTACATCATTGTGAATTTCGGTTGTACATTATTTCTTGTTGGTCAGCATATAAGTGCTCCCTTTCATCCTCTGTGCTCACCTCCCAGCCAGCTTCCCCTGGTAACCACTGAACTCTTCTCTTTCTCCATGTGTTTGTTTATCCTCCACATATGAGTGAAATCATCTGCTGTTTGTCTTTCTCAGTCTGGCTTATTTCACTTAGCATAGTTCCCTCCGGGTCCATCTATGTTGTTGCAAATGGGATGATTTTGTCTTTTTTATGGCCGAGTAGTATTCTATTGTATATATATACAGCATATCTTCTTTGTCCAATCATTGATCGACGGGCACTTGGGTTGTTTCCATGTCTTGGCTATTGTGAATAGTGCTGCGATGAACATAGAGGTGGACAGGTCACTTTGGATTATTGCTTTCAAGTTCTTTGGGTAGATACCCAGTGGTGGGATAGCTGGGTAGTATGGTAATTCTATTGTTAGTTTTTTGAGGAATTTCCATACTGTTTTCCATAGTGGCTGCACCAGTTTGCATTCCCACCAGCAGTGCATGAGGGTTCCCTTTTCTCCACAACCTCTCCGAGATTTGCTATTTTTAGTTTTAGTGATTATAGCCATTTTAACAGGTATAAGGTAATAGTTTAGTGTAGTTTTGATTTGCATTTCCCTGATGAGTGGTGATGTTGAACATCTTTTCATGTGCTTGTTGGCCATCTGTATATCTTCTTTGAGAAAATGTCTGCTCATATCCTGTACCCATTGTTTTAGTCAGTCTGTTTTTTGTTGTTGAGTTGTGTGAGTTCTTTATATATTATGGAGATTAACCCCTTGTAAGATACGTGACTTGCAAATATTTTCTCCCAATTGGTGGGTTGTCTTTGGGTTTTGATCTTAGTTTCCTTTGCCTTGCAAAAGCTCTTCAGTCTGATGAAGTTCCACTTGTTTATTTTTTCTTTTGTTTCCCTTGTCTGAGAAGACACGGTATTTGAAAAGATCCTTTTAAGTTTGATATCAAAGAGTGTGCTACCTATATTTTCTTCCAACAGTTTTACGGTTTCAGATCTCGTCTTCAAGTCTTCAATCAATTTTGAGTTTATTGTCATGTATGGCATGAGATAATGATCTACTTTCGTTCTTTTGCAAGTGGTTGTCCAGATTTCCCAACATCATTTATTGAAGAGACTATCTTTTCTCAATTGTATGTTCTCAGCTCCTTTGTCAAAGATTAGCTGTCTATAGATGTGTGGTTTTATTTCTGTGCTTTCAGTTCTGTTGCATTGATCTGTGGTACCTATTTTTCACCAGTACTATGCTGTTATGATTACTATGGCTTTGTAGTACATTTTGAAGTCAGGGGATTGTAATGTCTCCAGCTTTGTTCTTTTTTCCTGAGGATTGTAAAGCTTTTAATTTTGCTGAAGTCCAATCTATCTTTTTTTTTCTCTTTTGTTATTTGTGTTATATATAAGAAGGCTTTGCCTAACCCAAGGTGATAAAAATTTACTCCTATATTTTCTTCAAAGTGTTTTATAATTTTAGCCATTACAATTAGGTCTATGATCCATT